GAGAAATCCTACACCGAAAAATCACTCGGCCGTGAAAGGGCAAACTCTTGGGCTTAGGCGGTAGTCCCTCCTTTCGCGCGCTCCTAGCCCCCAGGATTTTGCGCGGCCATTTTTTCCTCGCGAATTTCTTTTGCGTCACGCACGACGGACTAAGCGAAAGAGGGACTACTCGTAGTCTAGTGAAAGTCTGGCAATCATTCGAATTAATCTATGGTCCAAGAGGAAGTTTATTTTGAGTTCAGATGATGATATAAATGGATATCCAGATGCAGAATATATATAATCTGGAGGTGTAAAACCAAATTAACAATTCCGTATGAATTGTTACGGTCGGGTGTGCTCAACAAAGGATTAGAGAATAGCTGACAAGGCGTGCCTAAAGAAAACATGAATTGTATGTGGACCATGCGGTATGCAAATTTGTTACTAGGAACCCGGTTGTACGTAGCACCAGTGTATAGATGATATTTCATTCAGCACACCTCCAAACTGAGATCAGAAGAAGCCTTGAAGTTAAGTTCAACAAAGTTGACACAACTTTGGACATAGGTTCCTTATGGTTGGCATTCCCCCGGTTGGGTACTCCCTATGCAGGGAGGCTCCGACTAAGCCAAAAGGGGTCCTTTTTCAGGCTGGATGGGAAGAGTAGGGTTGTCATGAGAGGATAAAGGCTAGGGGAGAAATTGTCATTTAGGAACTGTTCAGTAAAGGGGCCTTTTCATACTGAAATATCTCGTACAAGTTTTTTAGGGTAGAAAGACTTAGGATCACCAAAGTGTCCTGTAGCTATGTGAAAGGAGTACCATTATCTACGGAAGAAATACATGTGAGAAAAATTGGAGCATAAAAAGATAAGGGTTTGGACCTCAGGGCGGAGGCTTCCCGTATAAAGCTTTGTTGAGTACTCACACCCCTCCTGGGGTAACTGATCCATGCAGCGTAAATGAAAAGTGAAGATGTAAAGTCATTGCACAGGCATTTGAGAATAGACTTCGTTATCACCAAAAGACTCACGATCGGTTTGTCGTTATAATTCTCATCTGTGGAAGACTAGCAGCCATTGCTATAAAGACTATAAACTACAACAAGGGGAAGCCTGGCTGACCTACCTCGTCATATTGCAGTGGGAATGTTGGCCTTTCATGTGCCATATAAAACAAAAAACAAAAACAAAAAAGCAGTGGTTATTATGCCTGGGTCTGTTTAACTGATCAGAGGCTATTATGTAGTCCCCAGAAGAGACCCAGCATGTAGTCAAAGATATAGTGGATAAATGGATTGCCACCAACCTCGTTCCCAGGGTCTCTCCTCTTCCCGCCCCAAGAGCGGTGGAGAGATCCTGGGAATGAGGTGGTACAACCTAGTGTTCAGCGACATGAATCGACCAACGTATTGCACATTGTGGATAAATACTCCTATCTATATATTTTTTTAACCTCGCAACGTGCTTTAGCCGTTTTTTAGAAAAGTTCTCGTCATTTTGGGATTTTTTTCCCTGATCTGTCAGTATAATTTATGTGTAGGTGTTGAGTTTAATGTTTTCATAAATTAAAGAACCAAAACAACGCGCCTGAATATGTAAATCAATCCACCCGTGTTTAATATTAACACAAGTTCGGTCGAAGGTCAGGATTTCTTTAGAGCCAGTGAAGTCGTGTGATTCCCGTTATTTCTCGAACCATGAACGCTGAAGATGCTCTGAAACTCATCAAATTCGGTTCGACAGTGGCCACTGGTGTTATAGCAGGCGGAGCAATTTACATCAACCTTGCTGAACACCCCGCAAGAATGGAACTCGACGATGTTCAATCTCTCCATCGACAATGGAGGGAAAGCTTCGATCGTGCCAAGTACTTGATGGCTGGGACATCCCTGTTGCCACTGGTTGGCGGAATAGCGGCGTTTGCTATCAATCAGAGTAAAGGAAAACCTTGGCTGCTTACAGCTGGGCTTATGGCGTTCAATGCACCCTACACGGCCATTGCTATGAAGCCTCGTGTTATTGATCCAATCTATGATTACGAAGTGGCTGGCAAGATGGATCCAGGCGTAGTTAGAGACACGGTGGATAACTGGAACACTTTTCACAAGGTCCGTACGGTGATAGATCTGAGTGCGTTTGCCTGGTGTGTGTACAACCTCATCTACAACTGAAAGGTTTATTAAAATGTTTATTGCGCTTGTTGCCGGCCGTCACTGACTGTATTTGGGACTTTGTTTATGGTTTGATTCTAGCACTGGACATACCGGCTTATTTTCATGGGGAAGAATTTTTTTCATTCGTTTTTTTTTTTATAACCTAGATCTGAGCTGTGTAAACTTGAAGTTGTTAATGGTGATTTGGTAATATTTGGGATCTATAAATTGTACATCATATTTGCTTGGGGGCTTGTACAAAACTGTATTGTACAATAATAAAAGTTTCAGACACACAAGCAGAGTAGATTTTCATCTAAGACTGATTTTAGATTGGGTGTGATCTTGGAGTTTAGCTTGCCTGCCGACAGCTGTTCAGAAGGCACACAAGAGCGTGACGTGATTATTTTACTGCGTTACCTGTTTTTATTCGTTGACTCATGCACTGATCACCATTCCTATCTATTTGAATACGATATTTCTCACAATATTAAATCTTGGCCCACCAAAAATCTAGACTACGCACACAAAATTTAGACATGAAACCTGTTTTATTCTATTTTATTGAAGTCAATTAAAATCTTTAGCTCGGTACATAAGTCTCTTGAAAATAAAGAGATCTGCATCTGTAATTTATCGTTTCGTGGCTTAGCGCAATCGCACCAACTTTACATTTAAAGCAGCAACCACAGGAATGAATGCGCAATAATTAGTTGCGCAGTAGTCTTCAGCTGGGTGTTCCCTCGTTCATCAGGTCTGCCGTAGCGCCGGTGTATCCTCGAACTATACCCTAATTTCTTCAAACACGCATTGCTTTCATTATGGGATTCGACTTGGATGACTTATTTCCTTGTCTCGAAGTTGTTTCCACTGTAGCGGCCGGCATGTTTGTCGGCGGCGCGCTGTACATCAACCTCGTGGAGCACCCGGCGAGAATGACGATTGCCGATACCAAGTCTTGCCACAAGGAATGGATGGAGAGTTTTGATCGAGCAAAGGTCCTTCAAAGTCGCTTGGCGCTGGTCTCCATAGTGTCTGGAGCTGGAGCGTACTATTGCAACCCAAAGAAAGGTCTGCCGTTCCTTGTCGGCGGGGGCCTAATTGCAACGATTTTTCCGTACACGCTGTTAGTGCTGAAGCCCAACTCGATTGACCCTATCTACGATGAAGAGATAACAAGCAAGAAGAGCGAAAGTGTCGTGAGGGAGACCATAGACAAGTGGAATAGTTATCACATGGTCAGGAGCTTGATCACTTTGCCGGTCTTTGCTGGTTACGTCATGTACTTGGCCAGCGGTCACAAGAAGTTCTGGTGAGGGCTTGAGACTCCTGGCGCGAAATTGTAAACAATTGTATAACCTTGTAGCTTTTGTTTTTAATAGACCAGCCCTCATCTTGTGTAGTGATACTGATGATTTTTTTGATGGTAAAATACGTTGCCATGGGAACCCTAAAATCATTTAAATATTCTACTTTTTAGTACAAACGAACAGACGAACAAACATAGAACAAGTAACAGATGTCAAAAACTACCGGCACCTTACCAACGACTTATTCAGGACGCAAACAAAACTGGCAAGCAAGACCCAAACAGACCAACTTAATTTGACTAACAATAATTGACGGATCAAAACTTATTTGAACCGACCAATGACTCCTGACAAACTTTACACAAGTCTTTCAGCCAATTCCGTCATGGCTAAACTGAACAATCATTTTCACAGACCAGACTTATAACATCATCAACTAACAAACACTATTCACTTGACTCTGAAGATGACTTCCGCTCGGATTGTGGCAGTGTCAGTCACCAACACAAGTTCTTTTCAGAACTACCCTCACCCAGATGATCACATAAGATGAACTGCTGATACTCCTGGGTTCAAACCATTTACTATCATACTACTAATTGTTGTCTAAACATATATTTAAGCGATTTTAAGAAACAACACAACGTTTTTTAAATACATGTTTCAACAGAATCTTCTGTCATCTTCAGTGGGAAAAGCCTACACTAAATCATCAACTTTATCATGTTAATTTTAAACTTTCTCTGTAATATTTTGCATTGTCTTGTTTCCTTTTGTTCTTATATTCAATTACCATTTTGCTTACACTTATATATTCAACTCTGTACTTTGTAATTTAAACTGAAGATGACAGAAGATCCTGTGGAAACATGTATTTAAAAAAATGTGTTGTTTCTTAAAATTTCAACATGTCTGCTACTATCCAGACCAGTTAGGATTCTTTTTATGTTTAATTTATTATTTTTATATTGGAAGTAGATAAATCAAATTTTGGCCAATTTTCCCAAAATGTTGTTAGAGGAAGTCTCAGAGCCACCGTAGAATTTTCAAATTTTTTAGGGTGACTCAATGAACTTGACATATAACCAAGTAGTTTTTGTGCAGTAAACTCCTAAATTGCACTCAGCCTGGGTATAATGATGTCTACTACAGTCGCTAAGTGTAACTTCAGTATCCAGTGGTCATTATGTGGCCATCCCCTGTTAAGTGGGAAGTCATCACAGCCCTGAAATTATTGTCTATGAAATACTGTAAGCAAAACCCCTATAAACTAGTGGATGGGGGTTTTCTATTTTCCTTATCCCTATTAAGCAGCCTGACCCAAAATAGTTTGGCTGTTTTGGAAAACATGATGACAGATAAGAATCCGAAATAGAAAAAGATCACTGATAAAATTATTTGAACACACATTTACTATTGTCATTGCGTGATTCCATGTTGCCTTATCGCTCGTTAATTTGTATTTGAATGAATTGAGGTTTTTACTAAGCCTCTTGCTAGTTCCTGATAAACCTCTACTCAGCAGCCTCCTCCCATTTCCTAGAGGATGGCTGCTTTTAATAGAGGTTCAGCTGTACAGCTGCTTCCATCAATACCATATATTAATTTACCAGCCAAGCTATTTTTTCAGACATTTGGTCTTGAATTGGCCAAAAATGTTTCAAACAAAGGGTTTGAGAGCCGAGAGTTTGATTGTATTCTCTCTCTGGTGCATGTGTCAAGGACTTAGCCTGCTGCTCCCTTGCAGTATCTGAACATTTTGTTTTACTTTACTCATATTTTAATAGGTGTTTTCTTGCCCATAAGTGGCATAGTTTTCTGAGAGCTGGATTATTGTTTGAGTGATGTAAAAGTGGCAGACCAGTGATGAGAGCTGCAAGAATCATTATAGACTGATGTTCCCTAAGGACAAACAAGTGACTATAGTTTAATATCATAGTATAGTAGTCCTCCAATCACATGTATGTTCGCCGGGGTGTTCTGATTAGTGGCCCTAAAATACAGGGTGGCTAATCTCCAACTATTTGTTGACAGACTATAAATGCAATTGTGAATGTTATGGGCGGTGCTTTTTCTCACTTAACTATCAAGTTGTTGGCTGAATGGTATGTTGAAATCCCTTAATTTTGAGACTTCAATGTTAAGTCAGGAACACAGTGTTTTAACAGGGAGATGCCCACTTTTTACACCTTTTACCCAGTTTTCACCACCCTGATTTCACTCCCTGATGGTTCCAACCTCAACATGCAGTTTCTTTTTACAACAATGCTATCTCGTCAGACAAGTGGGTGCATGGAATAAAAAATTATCAGATGGAGGAATTTACTGTCATCTGCAACCAGATGCTCAGAACCAGCAATTACAAAACATTTAGAGCTGAATTTACAGCAAAGTGGCACAAACTTCAGTGGTGGATCGAGGGGAGGGGCCTGGAGGCCCCCCCTCCCTTATCTTGGGTAGAAAAAGACAGAAGAAAAGTCGGCAGGGCAAGCAAAACAAAACCGCCCCCCTTAGCTCAAGGTCTGGATCCACCACAGAACTTGTAAACCAGGTACAAGTTCACAAAAGGAAAATCAGACAAATTTATGGTAAATTCAATACACAACTGGTGCTTTTTGGTACAGCTACATCCCTCAAATTTGGTCGATACAATCCTTTTTCTAGTTAGTCCAGTCCCTGAACTCGCTATGGGGGTTGAACCCAGGCGGGAGCATTGTCGTGCCCAGTGCTACTCGTTTGACAAATCTTCCATACTAACACTGTAATTTCTGACGCTGTTGCCTACCGTCAAGATGGCTTCCAAAACCCCGAGAAGGTCTATTATTTCAAACTTAATAACAATTTCCAGCAGACATTCACAATAGCAGAGAGACCAGAGAGACCTCAGGGATTTTATTTCGTGATGATAATTAAACCAACAGCTTTATTGGCAGAAGGTTAATGTTCCATTACAGTAAAATCAACTGTAACATTAACAGCTATACTCTAATTCTGACGACCTCTATGGACCAGTTTAGTTCAAACCACAGGGCAACGGGTATAAACCGCTTCTGTGATGTTTATGAGGAAATCCAATCATCGGGTCGAATTTTCATCTCTGCGCGTTTAGCAGAGTAGTTGTCTCCTTTCCAGGTCTCCCAATTTACTCCATTGGCGTGAGAGGCATGGGCGCCATGAAGGTAGCGACCATTCAAATTGGAGTTGTGACATGCGCCATACCACCATGCACCATGAAAGCTAACAGCGCAGTTACCTCCATACGAGTCATTGTCACGGTCTTTTGTTGAGAATGGAAAACGTTTGTGATAAGATAAGGAATCACCAGCAGTACCTATAATCAAAACAAAGAGTGGATTAGATATGATCACCTGGATTACCTGAATACTCAACTAAGACTGTTTCATCGGAGGTAAAAGCAAATTCAAGGCCTCAGCGTGGTGTAGGGGGGAAACTAAGGATGGAACTCCCCCCGGGTTTTCATTGCAATAGGACGTATAAACACTATTTTGACTCAGTACATTGCCCTTCAAGACGAGATGTTTTTTGTTGATTATGACATCACACGGAAGTTACATAACGTTATCACTTCCGCTATCTGAGATCCGCCATCTTGGGTTTTACGATTTCCTCCAGCTGAGTCAGAAATACAATAAATTTTTGAGAATTTGATCCAAAATGATTATGAAATGAGAACAGTACAAATTATGCAATGATGCACAAGGACAAAATGGAAAGATTATTTCAAAAAGACGTAGTTTAGCTTGACTAGCATGGCATTTAAGGTGATCATGTCAATGTCAAATGGTGTGGACAAACTATTCAAACAAAAAAAATTCTGCGAGGAATGAATAAACTGCTACAAAAGCCTCAGTTATCAAAGGGTAGATCCCCTTTCAAAATTATGAAGAAACGTCACGAGGGTTGGTTTTACCCCTCTCTAACTCCCTGGTAGGTCCGAGGGTTAAATATACCATACGTCCAGGGAATCCGTCGCAAAATTCCACTAAAACAAATACCCGAAACTTACTAAAATTTAATGCAGATTTTGCAAGAAATATCCTAAACTACTTACGCAATAATTAAATGGTGAGAAGAAACAATGAAACTGAAAGCCCTAACCTGTATCGAAACAAGCACATTTTTCACTAAAAAGGTACATGGTACAGTGCATAGGGAGTCCATTCTTCATTTCCAACTTCTTTTTCTTGAAAAAAAATCTAATTCGTCGTTTTTCTAAAGGAAAAGGCGAGCCCTTCACTTGCGCTGGTTTTGAAAGCGCGCCTTACTCAGGCGCCTCTACAAACGCTGCGCGCAATAGGCCACTTTCGATATATTAAAATCATGGCAGCTTGACAGTGAGGCTTAGAGGACACAAACAAAAGAAATGAATAAACATGGTCATTCAATTCCCTTTGTTTATGTCTTCTAATATAAGCCTCACTGCCAAGCTGAATTTTAATATATCGATCGAAAACAGTCTATTAACCAAGAAAATGATAAGACCTGTCAGCCCGGACATATTCCAATCAACCCATAAAACTGGTACAAAAATCTAGTTTTGTGGGAATGGACCAAATTCATTTTTCGTTTTCATTTTATTTTCAAAATTGCCATCAATTCAGAGTTTAGGAATATGATTTTATAAAGGAGACGAATAAAACTAAGTGACAGACAAATAGTTCCTGTTTCATTTTCCGATTCAATACCCTAAAAGGTACCACGATAACTCTAGCGCTGCTCAATTTTTGATTTAAACACCTTAACAGGTACCACAACAAGATTTTAGTCCCTAAAAGGTACAAAAAGCACCCCCGACATCTTTATATGGAAGTCCCCCGTTGGGGGGCGGGGGGGGGGGGTATCGGTCTCGTCTCATTAATAAGCTGTACTGAAATATGTAAGGCTTACCGTGGTAAGTCCCAAGACTCATCTGATACTTGGATTGTTCACTGGACACAGCAAAATAACCGTACTCGGCAAACGCCGTGTTTCCTGCAGTATCCTCCAAATCCACGCGCAGTTTGTATCTCTTGTGGTTGTTCGAGGTTAGCTTGTTCAGCTTATCAAGTCCCAGCCAATACTCGCCATTCAAGTGCCCAAACCCCGCTTTGTAGTCATTCCAGCCACGGTAGAAATCAACAGAGCCGTCCAGTCTCTTTTGAAATACCGTCCAGCCTCCACCGGCAGTGGTCTGGTCACAAAATACATCAAAGGGCTGTTGGCCGTCAGGGTGGATTGTATACACACCGCTGACAGTTTGACCGCAGCTGTAGATGTCGGCACAGTCTTTTCTATTTACTAGATGAGCACCAAAAAACAGAGGTAATTGGCTTTGAAGACAAACATTTGGCATAAGGATATTGTCAAAAAAAAAAAAAAAAAAAAGATATTAACACATTCTGAAGGATTAAAAAATTTCCAAATCAGTTTTATTCAGTTGTATGATAGTCTTGCGCCGCGCTTCCTTACTTTCCTAGTTATAGTTCAGGAGCGATGTGACGCAGATTTTGCAGGTTACCCAAATAATAACAATAAGAAATATAGTATACCTTGACCACCTGCTTTTCGCTCTTTTTCTAATTACCTTGTTTCTTCACTGGAAAAATCGTTCGATCACTCAAAATTGTTTAGTTCGTGCTTGTCGAAATCTAATATGGTATGATACGGGTTACCTTAACAGTCGCCTCAGTATGGCTGTTTCGCACGGTTTTTTCGTGGAATATAAATTAGCACTCGCTTTAAGACATACAGACAAGCTAATAAAGTTTCATGACTTAGCGTAGTCAGTTTACCGGGAAGCGTTGTTTTCTCCTCTTTTTACATCAGGCTTACTTTTAAGACAGATTTTAGAATCTGAATAACCTTGACCCCCGCAAGTCGCGTGCGCGTACACGCACGGATAGGGAAATGATGGGCCGGGTAGAGTTTCTCTTTTTGTGCCGATGTTACACAATCATGCCTATAGTCATTTTGCTCCGATTAATTCAAAGAAAAATAGTTTCTGAATAATTTTCAATCTTTAAATGCCCGCGGCACGAAACCTTCCTACCTTCCGAACAGTTGCGTTTGGCTCCCAGCAGCAAGTCGATCTTTTTCTCGAGGTCTTTCTGTTTGTTGACCAGTGTTTTCAGAAGTTGACAAAAGGCACACTCATTGTCGGTCCCACAAACCAGCATTTCACAAAAACAGGGAAATAACAAAAGAAATAAAATTCTCTTAAGAATCTGGCCCGCCATTCTGAGAGGTAGCTAGTTGTGTCTTCTCCTATAATTTAATTTTGAACGTAACTGCGGATGCAGAATGTGACCTTTTATTTATACAGCTTGGGTAACAGGTGGTAGAATGCTCATGACAATTTCACTATCTTTAACACGTATTAGTTTGGGGGATAACCTGAGCTAACACGGTTAGCAAATATTTATGAGAATTGTCTGTCAGCGTTGCCTCTATTAACAGTTGTCAGTAGGTAACCAGAAACTGCAAGGGACCGCATACGATAAACGCTGCCAACGTAGGATCTACAAGAGATCTGATCAGCCAAAAAAATGTATGAAGACAAGCAATTGACTGCTTTTGCTGATACTACGTGAAATGGGTGCATGCCAAAATCATGTACAAGAAACATGCTGAAGAAATTTTTGCACGTTGTCGTCATTTGACCACAACTACCAGAATTCCTTTCGTTTTTTCTTTGTATTTATGATTTAAATTTTGAATTCCCAGTGGGGTTTAAATAACAATTGCCTTCATTAGCATAAGAAACAGAAAAAGTGAAGGATTCTGGTAGTTGTAGCGAGATGACGCCATCATGCAAATCGCCTATTCCAAACCGCACTACACAGTCATAGAAACAAACCCTTTTTGACCAGAACATTGACAATTATCGAGACATTTTACCAAGTTTCAAATGGTAAATTATAGTTAGTTACGATAGCTCAGCCAATCAGATTGCATTAGTGTTCTTGTAGAATTCTGCTGTGTAATAAATGCTTTTCTCGTCGCCCCACTGAAAAATTCACGATAAAAAAACGGTATTGTATTTCTCGAAAGCACCATTTCAGAACTTTAATTTGGTTTATCTGGGTAGGTGCCAACCAAAAGTCTTTTTTTTCCATGATCATCAAAAAATTACAACTAAACATAAAAATGGCAGAAAGTTGTTTGATTTATTTATATATTTATTTCATTGTATTCGGTCACGATGCTACAGCTTAGAAATACGCAAGTCAACAACTGCCTTTAATTAATTTACCGAAGTTTTTAAAGGTTATCCAGTTTAAAACCTTGTTCTGCAACATTTTTACGCTAGTGATAAACTTTCTCATTACTCTTAACCAGATTACTTTCAAAAACAGCCCATGGAAGCTAAACTACCGATACCCAATGTTTACAGTGGAATCCAATCAGCGGGTCGAATTTTCATCTCCGCGCGTTTAGCAGAGTAGTGGTATCCTTTCCAGGTCACCCAGTTTACACCGTCAGCGAAGGAATCGTGGGCGCCATGATGATAAGCACCATTCAAGTTGGAGCCGTGACAGCTGTTGTACCACCATGCGCCATGATAACTGACAGCGCAGTGACCTCCATCTGAGTCATTGTCACAGTCTTTAGTTGTGAACGGGAAACTTTTGTGTGGAGATAAGGAATCACCTGCAGTTCCTACAACATATTTATTAGAAAAACGCCTGTGTTACATGAACACTCTTCGAAGTAATTACATCAAGGACCGTAACTGGGAATGGCGTCTTAAACTTTAGTAATTAAGCAGTTAGACGAGCGAGACTGTGGTGATACGAAAGTGAAATGTCACTGAAAACTATGAAAGAAAGCCCTGAAAGTTTGAGTACAAGGGTTTGTGGCGTGGACCTAATGGTAATTCACGTCCCGAAGGAAAGAAAGAGGGGAGGAAGGGAGGAGGATAGAGTTCTGCATACCAGAGGTACTGCAGGCTTACCGTAGTACGTCCCAAGACTTAACTGGTACTTGGATTGTTCACTGGACACAGCAAAATAACCGTACTCGGCAAACGCCGTGTTTCCCGCAGTATCCTCCAAATCCACGCGCAGTTTGTATCTCTTGTGGTTGTTCGTGGTTAGCTTGTTCAGCTTATCAAGTCCCAGCCAATACTCGCCATTCAAGTGCCCAAACCCCGCTTTGTAGTCATTCCAGCCACGGTAGAAATCAACAGAGCCGTCCAGTCTCTTTTGAAATACCGTCCAGCCTCCACCGGCAGTGGTCTGGTCACAATAGACATCCAAGGGCTGTTGGCCGTCAGGATGGATTGTGTACACACCGCTGACGGTTTGACCGCAGCTGTAAATGTCGGCGCAGTCTTTTTTATTCACTGAGTGAGAAGCAAAAAAAATGCGTTGTTTATAGTTTAAGTATTTTTTAAGAGCTATGTGAAATGTTTTCATGCTCACAAGCCTGGCATGTTCACGAACGGAGCGTGGCACAGGTTACCCAACTTTTTTTTCTTCTCAAGCACTCTTTTTGCGACATTTCGCAATGAAAGCTTGTTTGCTGCCTAATCACAGTTTTTCATCTTGTTTTAGTTTGTGTTTCTATTTAGTTTTGAATTCGTTTGCCTGAAGAATTATTATCATTTATAGTAGTTTTCTCGCTGTTAAATATTTTCAATGTGGAAGGGGCGTGACCTAAACAAACTGTCTTTGATGAGACTCGCTTTTGCCACTCTTTAATTTTTAAATAGCTTAGACATTGAAAAATAGGACGTTAGCTGCATGCCTTATATGGATCAGATTGCGACAACGAAATATTAAGTGTAATAAGCTGTACTCCTTTAAAGTAACCTTGATACTGTGGCTTGAAAGCTTTACATCTTGAACTAATAAGTAGCTCACATCAAGACTGGAAATTATGTTTTTATCGTTTGTTGATGGAAAGATATCAAAGACAATTAGGCTAAATTTACGTGGCAGTAGTTACTGTACTCCGATTGATTCAAAGAATACTTATTTCTGTTTAATTATACTCGAGAAACTTCCTACCTTCTGAACATTTGTCGCTTGATCCAACAAGCAAATCGATTTTTTTTTCGAGATTTCTATTCTGCTGCGATATCTCGCTGATTTTCCTGTCCATATCTGTCTGTTTGTTAATAGCTGTTTTCAGAAGTTTACAGCAGTCACATTCTTTCACGGTTGTCTTCTGTAATAAGGCAGTTCCACAAACGGGTCTTTCGCATAGAGCCAGAAAAAACAAGAGTTGTAAAATTCCCTTCAAAATCTGGCTCGCCATTCTGAGGGTTACGAGTTACTCCCTGAAATGAATTCTGAATGTAATTCAGGATATATTTGTACAGCTTACAGTTCATAACTGATAGTTTCTGGTTCAAAAAGATCACTATTGTCAAACAATTCAGCACCATGTTTGTCCTTTAAGGTTTCCTTTTCTAGCTAGTATTAGTTCAGGTCAGGAGCCTGAGTTGATACTTTTAGCAAATGGTCACCATTAATATAAATAACAAAACTGGAGAAAGATTTTATCTCGTGGAACATCGTTCATTCCCACGACCTATTTCGCGTTTGTTAGCTTATCTAGTCGACTTCTCACTTCACAGAAACTAAGGCGATGTAAACTGGACAATTTAATTGTAGTAGTCCAATCTGTTAGCTGTACAGTTAACAGTTCACCCTTATCTTAGGATATCTCCAGGATCAGAGTACCAGGCAGAGGCGACAATGATACCTCATTTACGGTCTGAAAACATCAAAAGCACACATCCTATTCCGTGTAACATCAGGAGTAATCTTCACTCCGACGACCCCTCCCCACCCACCTCCTCCCCCCCACTCACCAGCGCGGATCTCGCAGCACAAAGAGTCTGCGATTCAGGAATTCCTTTCCTTCCACGCAGGCACAGGGTTTTTCCTTCTCAAATTTAACTAGGGAAGTGACGTTCTCATCCCCAGAGCCTTACATCCTTTCAGTCACGTCGTTGGTGAAACGAGTAGTTCTGGGGACGAGAATGGGAACCGGCCAAGGTTCCCGATTCAGACTGCTAAACAGAAGGATCGTGGTCTCCAAAAATGAAATAGCTCGGCCTACACTGACGGGAATAAGTTCTTCAACTAGACATTTGCATAGATTTGAGGTACCAAACTTGCGTCAGAATCACGGCCTAGTTTGTTTTATCATCAATCCTCATTGTGCCTGTCTCCACATAAGGCTGCGGGGTAATCTACGTAAACTAAACTGAGCAAAAAATTCTCATCCGAAAGGCCAATACTGAAATTGACGTCAGCTTCACTAACACGCTACTGTGGTTAATTTACCCCTAGTACTTCAAATGGATGGATAGCTTGCCTGCCGACGCTGCACTGCGTTAAAATTAAACTACCGAAATTTCGGTTCCAAGGTAAATGACAAACGCTCTTTCCGCTTGTCCATCCTCTGCATACGTCTTACCGGCAAATACCCGGATAATAAAAGTACATCTATCAATCACCCTTTCAGAAGTTCCATTTTTTCCAGTATGGCAAACCGAAAAAGTGTTTGTCATTTGCCTCCGATCCGATTCGGCTCCGTGCCGAAAATTCCAGAATGGTTACTTAAAGGGAACTTGTTTCAGGCCCCACTCTTCTTGATCTTGGTTATAAATGATTTTCCTGGTCATCAAAAAAGGACTGAACATGAAAAAAAAAACAAAACAAAACAAAACAAAACAACTATTGGCCAAATACTGCTTTTAATTTACTTAATTTTAATTTTAATTCGCGATGCTACAATTTACCTTAACACGCTTAAATTTATTTACTATTTCAGGGAAACGCTAGAATTCAAGTCCCTCGCTAAATCTTTCAAAGATTACACTTTGGAACCTTACATTGTTGGTTAAAATAGCATTGCAACATTTATACTCTAGTGACAAACCCTCTTGAACAATTTAGTTTCAGCTGACAGCTCGCGGCAACTAAACTACCGATACCCAATGTTTACAATGGAATCCAATCAGCGGGTCGGATTTTCATCTCCGCCCGTTTAGCAGAGTAGTGGTATCCTTTCTAGGTCACCCAGTTTACTCCGTCAGCGTAGGAGTCATGAGCACCATGATGATAAGCACCATTCAGGTTGGAGCTGTGACATGCGCCGTACCACCACGCACCATGATAACTGACAGCGCAGTGACCTCCATCTGAGTCATTGTCGCGGTCTTTTGTCGAGAACGGAAAACTTTTTTGTGGAGATAAGGAATCACCTGCTGTTCCTATAAATCAGAACAAGGCATGTGTTACTCGACTACTTTTCTGGGTAAATACATCAGAGGCCATAACTGGGATTGTGATGTAGCTGTAGTTTAGCTGGATCTAACGCACGCCCTTATTGGCTGATTTACGGTCACGGCAATGGCTAAATCTTAATCTCCTCCGGCAGATGCTTGACCATTTAGCATCGTCCGCTCTCCCGCTAAGCAGAAGCTACTTTGAAGGAAGGAAGGAAGGAAGGAAGGAAGGAAGGAAGGAAGGAAGGAAGGAAGGAAAGAAGGGAGGAAGGAAAGAAGGAATGCATACTGTAAATACTGCAGGCTTACCGTAGTACGTCCCAAGACTTAACTGGTACTTAGATTGTTCACTGGACACAGCAAAATAACCGTACTCGGCAAACGCCGTGTTTCCCGCAGTATCCTCCAAATCCACGCGCAGTTTGTATCTCTTGTGGTTGTTCGTGGTTAGCTTGTTCAGCTTATCAAGTCCCAGCCAATACTCGCCATTCAAGTGCCCAAACCCCGCTTTGTAGTCATTCCAGCCACGGTAGAAATCAACAGAGCCGTCCAGTCTCTTTTGAAATACCGTCCAGCCTCCACCGGCAGTGGTCTGGTCACAATAGACATCCAAGGGCTGTTGGCCGTCAGGGTGGATTGTGTACACACCGCTGACAGTTTGACCGCAGCTGTAAATGTCGGCGCAGTCTTTTTGATTAACTAAGTGAGAAACAAACAAATACGAAAATACGTCAGCAAAGATTTCCCTATAACAGGACGTGCTGACAAAGTCTTTCAAGATGGTGTTTGTGCCGAAACGTTTGAGTGCATAGGAGCATAATGGACCGAAAGAAATTGTACTGGAAAGAAAACCTGAGGCCGCTTTTTTTTTTTCGGCGGGGTGTGGGAGGTGAATGCAGGATGGGGAGTTGAATCTTTTGTTTTTGCTTTTTGAGGTTTCTTTTGGCTGTTCAGTGGAATCCCGATTTTTCGAACCTCCAAGAGAAACGAGAGTTGGTTCGAAAAATCGGAGAGTTCGAGAAATCGGGGGTAAAATTACAGTGTTCGACTGAGGAGAGGGAATCGGACTTTTGGTTCGAGATATCCGGAGGTTCGAAAACATGAAAGTTCAAGAAATCGGGATTCCACTGTATTTTGTAATTTTTCCCTCAGATGGACCTTTCTCGTCACTTTGCAGAAGTTTTTAGTATTTACTGAAATGTTTTTTGTTATTCCGCGTCTGTTAAAATCCAATATGTAGAGTGATCGACCAGATACGCTGAGACTGATTCGTTTTGAATACGATATTTTAATATACATCCGATCATATGCAAACAGAAAAACACTAGCCTAATCTAGGATAATATTGACAGAACATCAAGACTCTGCTTTGTTCCTCCAACAAAACGCTTATAATCAGTCAGGACAATTGAAAATTGGTTAGTGTCGCGCCATGCATGCAATACAAAAGAAAACAGCAAAAAACATTTTTCAAAATTTTTCAGACCAGGCTCTGTCAAACAGAATCCCGACAAAAACTGGAAGGTTGTTCTTTCTGCGATAAAATACGTACCTGCCGAATTAAAACTTCGCGAAAATTGGTCTTGAGTTCCACTCAGAACGGAGTGTTTTTCCCGGATAGTAAAATCATCGTCCTGCTCCTTAATCATTCGACTTTGATTCAAAGAAATAGGGATTTCCGGCTTATTCTGTTACCTAAGTTTGGATAATACTTAAGATGAACGTCTTACCTTCTGAGCAGTTTCCTTTCGCTTCAAGAAGCAAATCGATCTTCCTTTCCAGATTTTTGTTCTGCTGTGAAATTTCGTCCTGTTTATTGATCAGTGTTTTCAGAAGTTTATAAATGGGACAGTTAGGTGTGGTCGGTAAAGCTCAGCAAACGAGCACTTCAAAACAGGAGGGAAATAACAAAAGACATAAAACTCCCTTTAAAATCCCGCCCGCCATTCTGAGCAGTTTCGACGTCGCGTTGAAATTAAATAAATTTAGAGGACGATGCAGGGTGTATCTTATATTTATGCAACTTGGGTTTAGATTGATGGTTTACTTTGAAATGCACTCAACGGAAACTGATTCACTGTCACTCGCGTCAGACACATTAACAGCATGTTTACAATAATTTTGCGATTTTTAGCTCGTGTTAGTTTAGGTAGTTATCTGAGCTAATACGTTTAGCAAATGGCGTGATTCTTCGTGAGAACTGTCTGTCAGTTAAGCTCTTATAACAGCTGGTGCAAAGCCGATCTGTTAATGGGGTCAAGGCACCCTCTTTACAC